CAAGAAATAAATTGAATAAATAGTTATTTCCAACTCTACTTTGAATATTTTTGAGAAAAGACCATATCAGGTTATGTACAGTATTGTTTTTGTGAAAAATGTGCTCATAAAATTTATATTTTGCGTTGGTTGAATAATGTAACTATTATTAAAGAATTTTCTTTTAAAATTTATATAAGGAAATAGATATGATTGTCTACTGACTGTCGCATTTTACCCCACCTAGGGGACAAAAAGGACAGATGACAAATTTTAGAAAAATTGTAAGTAGAAACACAATTCTATAATTAGGAATTAATTGCAAATTGTACTGAACATGGAAATTGTACGGTACCTGATGAACATGTTTCGATAGTTGCTTGCTTAATACTTATCATGTTTAGCGTTATAGTCCATTTGTTTTAGAGTCTGAACTTTCGACAGTATAATTACTTAAACCGCCAATAAACCTTTGTGGCCCACCTATCCCTACTTCAATTAACAATTTTTCAACTCTAGTCTTACTACTATCTTTCAATAATCTTTTGCTTTCTATACTTTCTATTTAATTACAACTACGATCTCTCTATAATTAGTATCAATCTTATACTACAATCTCTAGCATGCTTTCATCTGTTCTGAACTGCCATAGCAACGGATTATCAACCGCTATTTATATTATATATATATGATGATGGGTAGTGCTGCCCTAGGGCAGGTCCGTGAGCTGAGTTAAACTCCAACTCGCTTCAGGGAAGAATAGTGTGAGAGGTTTCCCATTGCCATTTCACACCGCAGTGTCCGAGATGGGCTTATTTTCAATTGGAAACATATTTTTTATCTATATTTTCAATTGAAAAGGGACATCGCGCTGCCCGATGTCAGATTGCCATAGCGGGGATTCGAACGCGCGACCCTGTCCATACAAAGTCAATGCGTTAACGATCTTCGCCACGACGAATCTATATATATATATATATATATATATATCTATTTAAAATATAAAATTTACAGATATGATATGAACCATACTCATATGTGCATATATAAGTCCATATTACGTAATGGCTTCGGCATATGTTTGACTTCTGTGAAGCTTTTGCAATAAAGCCACGTCCGGGGGACGTTGCCAGTTCGCAATATATGTGACATACTATGAACTATGTAATATTTTCGACTTGTAGGGTATTCATCAGGGGAAGAGGATTATATGCAGCTCGTGCGTCCGCTTTGAACTAGACTCGAGAATATACTTATTTTGATATGTGCGCATATCGACTTATGTGATATTTCACTAGAATATTTCAATAGAATATCATCCCGATATAGATACATACATTTATGATTAATTAAAATAACTAATTCAAAAATATGTCTAGTTGCGCTGCTATCTATATTCATTTACCACACTATCATGTAGTAACATCATGCTTTGAAAGCACAGTAATGATAAATTGATTCTGCAATTTATTTCGAAGGTTTATTGGAAAGAAACTTGTATTGGAAAAGTGGTTGCAACAAAGTTGTACACCTAAATGTTGCTCTTAATTAATATATTCATGTGTTTTGTTAGTGATGTTCTGACTTTAAATTTTCTGATTCAATTCAATTTTCTGAATCAATCAAATCAGAAGAGAACCTGATTCGAGTCATAATTTGAACGTAACTCAAGCCTATATTACTTACTTTTTTGTTACTCAAACGCTTTTTATTACTCAAACGTTACTCAAAGATAAAAAACATATAAATTATTTAGTAAATGTGATCAAATTTTTACTTCAATCTAGTTCTTAATTATAATATGTATTCACATCCCTATTAGAAAGATAGCTAATTATAATCTCATCAGATGGAATATGGTCATTATTATAATAAATTTTATTCTACTTCATTATTTATTGTACTACATAATTATTATATAATTCACATATCAGAAAAGATACAAAAAATAAACCAAAATACTTCAATTAAAAATATGTATATACAAAATATATACTTTGATATACATTTTCTTGTTCACTTCATGATGGTTTTCAAGGGGCCTTTACTGGGTCTTTATATATTTATGGAACTGTAAATTTAGGTATATTCTAGAACAGTAAATTTGTTTTTAATGAAGTTTTTTCATTTAAATCGATCTATGCGTTCAGAAGTAATTTTCGAATAAAATATTTTTTCTTTCTAGCAGTGCATATACTTTTTGATGGTAAAATATTTGACTTTAAGAATATTTTTATGCAGTGAAAATGAATTATATATATATATATATATATATATATATATATGATTGAAGAATATGAGATTGAAGAAATCTTATAATAAATAAAAGTAAGACTGTGAGGCTAATCGTTTTTCACATAAAAATATAGATGAATAGTACGTTTTCAATTAAAGTTAGTACTAAAGATGGAAAATTACCCACAGTAATCTTCCACGAATAGTCTTAATATTTCATTTTTCATAAATTCTTATACTAGAGAAACATGATGGTTTACTGATATTTAGATTTCTAAATATAATGAAAACTATGAACAGAGTTTATAATTCGATCCTTGGTTATAATCATCCAGAACCGATAAATATTTGCTATGTTCATTAGTTTAAACTTTTATTGGAAAATAAAATTAAATTTACAATTAAAAAATGCTTTAGCTAACATTAACTGGTTTACTATACTTTTTTTCTTATCTGATTTAAACCAATCAAATATCAGAAGTGTCTATATACATGCATAAAAGATCGATATCATCTTCGAAAAATTCTATTTTGTCACCAGCCGGCAAAGTGTAAAAGTCGCACCTCATACGTAAAAGGATTTGTTTTTGTTTGTAAAGAATTATTTCTTCAATATTCTAATATATAATTGCTATTTTATATTCGCAGAGTAATTAGTCAGATGAACGTAGTTGCTTTTGATATATTTTATCATTATACAATGTAATTAATCTAATAATGATGATTTATATACTTGATGTTTTGCCGGTACAATGGTCATTTTTTAAAAAAATTTATACATAAAAGTGAGTGAGCTATCTGTTTCTCTTACAGTTTCATTGATTGACTATGAATAAGTAAATTGTCTTTATTGAACCAATGATTGTTAAATTATAGTTATATTCATACTCGTTAAAAAATTGCTTTACTTTCATTTCATTCAGTTAAAGCAAATAATAAGTGATAAGTAAGTAAAGCTTTCATGAATTCAAGTATATTTTCTTAAATTTTTGTGTATTGTTTGTAATTGAAAAAGATGAATATTTTAAATTAAAAATACTTAGAAGCAAACAAACAAGATTTACATACAAACATTTCTTTGTTCTTGAAGTCGAAAAGAAGAGATGTTTGTTATAAAGAACCTATATGAAGTTAGTTATTCATTAAAGATTTTTATGTTGTTTTCATATTAAGGCGTATCATCTAACAGAATTATCGAAATATAAATATAAAATGCGTTACAATATGATATACAATAATAATGGTATATAAAACAAAGCAAACAAACAAATTTATGTAGAAATGTGTTATTGGAAAAGCAACATTTAATGTTATTATACGTGTCCATAGTTATTGTTATAGCTGATTTACTTATTGTTTATGCTTTATATGCCATTTTGATTTTGTTTGTTAAATGGATATAGTAGTTTTATATAAAATTTTCATAGTAAACAGAAATGAAATTCGAAATTAGCAGAAATAAATGGATGTCTTTTAAATAGAAAGATTTTAATACATATAACACATGTACAAACACTCAACGATGTAGCATGTTTTTCGCATAGTGACATTACATATGTAATATATTATACAACAAAGATTACAAAAATATTTTTATAAATTGTCATTAATAAAAAACTTCTACATTGTACAGTTAGTGAAATTATTTTAATTTCTCCTTTTAATTCCTTTTATTTCTAAGTTTCAAGAAAATAGTTTTACAACTCATAGATAGTCATCGAACATACTTTATTTCACATTAGTTGAATTTTATACTTGAAATCAATCTCTGTTATTTGATTTACAAACTCGAAAAAAAAACAATTATAATAACTAACTAACATAAAAATAAAAGATTTGCCTTTTGGCTCTTTCATAAAAAAAAACCATTGACATCTAACGTGTGGATGATTATTGAAGGACATGAATAATGCTGAATCCTGATTGAACAAGGTTTATAGTCCGCTTAATTTTAGTAAAAACTGTAATAAGGCTGAATTAGCTCTAGAATAATATGATTATTTCTGTGAAGCATTAAATATTAATTTTATTTCATAAATTACATAAATTTAATTTTTTTGCAGGTAGAGAGTGCTCTGCCGCTGGGAGCAGGCGCCATCCGGACTATGAGGTCGCGGATGTTTCTATAATCTCTACGTGAATTCTCCATGTATTTAAAGTAAGTACAGTTTAAATTTAATTGAAATTTAATAATATTTGTATCAAATCCTATCATGCTTTGAAAGTGCTTACTCTTTTATAGCCTATTATTCTTACATTTCCTATACAATTTTAATTTCGCTCATTTGATTGTATACTTGAGTTTATTATAACTGAAATAAATAATGGATATAGAATAACTTTTTTCCAGGCAATTAATAAAAATTAAATTCATTATGTCATTTTTTAAACTATCAGTGTATTTTTTAATTCTATTACATCAAATCCTTATTTGAAGTTTAATTCTAATCAAACTATTTAATAAATTAATACGTATTTTATGATACATATACAAATTGTCTATGTGTAATACATATTTTTCTTTTATATTTTGAATTTGGCACTTATTATAGTCAAATATTTAGCTTTTCTAAATATATTAATACATAACTGTTATGTTTATTGTAAGTGGAAAATAATTTAAATATTCAATAATTTCCAAATTGCATATCATTTACTAGTATTATTTATTAAAAAATACTACCTAATACTATAAAATACCTAAACTAATGAAAATATCGTCAAATAGTTGAATCTTTAATGTTTATTGCAAAACTGAATTGTAAGCTAAATCTATCACATACATTAGTACATATCCCAATTTTTATACTTTTACGCAATTTAAATTGATCGAAATTTGAATTTGATTTAATTTTTTGTGGGATATCAAGATTTTTAAGCTCAAAATTTGATTTTATGTTTTTAGCTTTCTTGTGTTTTTCGGCAATTATATCACGATTGATTTAATAAAATTCAATTTTTCTTCCTTCTAAAGACAATTTGAATAGATAGTTGTATGTCATATTATATTATTATTATAATCTTGGAAATTAAAGATTAAAAATAATATACAATTTAGTAAAGAAAAATCTACATAATGATAAATTTAAACCAGAACCAACTGGGAGTAAATAAACAAATCATTAATGATTTGTATTCATTTCAAAAATTGTATAATATCGAAATAGCTAATAGATAAAATAACAAATGTAAACAAATAGTTAATAATATAATAATACGATACTTATGACACTAATTACTTTTATTATATACCTATTTTTGTTATATATTAAAATCTCAAATTCATTATGGAATTACACCATTATCATGACATAAAATGTATATACATGTGTATTATTACTATGACAAAGTACCTAATTAGCACCAAATGATGAATATAATACGCATGAATAACACAATTTATCATGTGGTCTTTGTACACATATTTTGCAGTATATTGCAGTACATAATATATTTTTTATTATCCCATATTATTATATACATATATATTTTTTAATTTACTTTTCACTTCCCGCAGGAGAAGTTTATATTTTTGTCAGAAATTCCAATTTTATAATTTAATATTTTCTTAATGTTTCAACACATTTTGAATGCTTGGATACCAAAATTGGAAAAAGTATTTGTATATGTATGTAAGCCAAAATTTAAAGTTTTGTCGAAGTTTTCTCGAAAATGGCTTCGTAAATTTTAAATTTTTCACATCTTATCCAGCCCTTTTTTTATAATTAGCAAATATGTGGCCGTTTCTTCCTAATTAATTGTAGAAAATTTTATTGTGAGAATTTGAAATAAACTTTGCAGTGATCGAATTCATGTATGTTAGAGGTCTGCGAAATTAATTAAAGTTTTTTATTGCAATTGATTATCGATCACCGTTGACTTACCAACTTACATGCATAGCACTGATAATATATTGTGACGTTTTAAGGTACCCTGATCCAATATTATGTAGATTAGTTTGATAATTATATTAGATTCTTCTAAAAATATAAGTTGGAAGTTTCTGTTTAGTTTTTTTTTTGTGAAAGCGAAAAGTTCATTTTGTAAATAAAAAGTTGAAAATTTTATCGTCACAATTTCGAGTTTTAATTCAGATCTTTTAATCTCTAATCTTAATTATTAAGTAAATCAATTATTAACACGTATCGAGAAGTACATGCAAATATCATTTTATTCGAGTGTAGTAAATTTCAGAATCTATAATCTATTATTAAATATATAATATATCAATAAAAGAGTAAATGTTGAGCAAACAAAAATTCTTTACATTTAAGTGATTTTGAATTTTTTGCATAGCGATATTTCAATCTTATAAATAAAAGAAATTTATTTCTCAGAGGTGCTAAAATGACGACCGCAATAAGGAAAAAAACTGTCACATAACTCTTGGAAAACGTTTGTACAAGATAAAGATATTTTTGTGTTATTCCATTTCTGGAATATTAAAAGCTGTCTATTTTAAAACGAAACGAAAATATAACACGTTTATTTGAATGAATCAATAAATTGTGCCGTCTGTTTCTCGACTGGCAGAAGCTTATTTTACATATTGCCAATGTATCCTTATATATTGGTATTCCACACTATAAAACTGTAATAGCATGTGATTACATTGATTCCAAATGAATATTTTGCTTAAAGTTTAAGGATATTATCTTAAAACGCATCTGAAATTAAATACACGAATAAATTTTGCGTTTGCGTTTAACAAAATTTTAGTATTACTTCATTTTTTTAGATCGTTACACTGTAATCTGAACTAAAAGTAAATTGGGCTGATATCATGACACTTCTTCACAATTGTTAAAACTTTTGAGAGACAACTCGATGGTTGTTAGTTGAAGGTATTTAAGCAGTTTCCCTTTTTATAATAGTAACATATTAAATTATTGCTTACTGCCAAAAATAAACTGAATTTTATATTGACAGAAATATAACTATTTCCAAAAAACCTGATGGTGTTAAGCCTTTTTGATATGAAAAGCTCCATATTTTTCATATGCAAAACTCCATGTTGTTCATATATTGTGCTTACTAATTTTTGTTTTAGCATGTAATTGATTTCTGCATATCAGTAATTCTTAATGAGATATACTACTACTACATTATACTATTTCAACTCGGTAATGAAGACATTTAAAACGGATTTATAACGTAAAATTTATACTGTAAGATATCTTACCTAAGTATAGCTCTTTATATATTAGCTAATTCATTTTAGTTTTTTTGGTTGTGAGCACTTTTGTTTAGGTTACGCTGCCTTAACATAATTTTTAAATATACGTTATTTAATTGTTTTATAAGATGTATTGTGTTAATTCTATCTACAATAATGAAATATCTGCGAGTTTTACTGAACATAGTTAGTCAGCGGTTTTCACAATATAATTGTTTAAAGTCAAAATGATCTATGTGCCCCGTTCTACCTTATTTCATAAATGTTGTCATGAATTTTTTGCTTATTTTCTGATAATTGTGGAAAAAATCATTCAACACTCATCTATATGGCTTTTTCTGTGCAAGTTGATAATATATATATGGATTTATAATTTTTTTAATAGGACAGATTTGTTATGCCAGATGGTAGTCTGATGAAATCTATTCGTGCTCTAGATTTTATATTTGTAGTTATGTTTTATTTTTTGCATATAAAAATAGTTATTTCTTATAATTCAAAAGCTCCGTCATATTATATTGAATTAATTATCTTGTGCTCTTTCCATTAAATTTATATAATTGTTCATTACTGTTACTAGATGTTAATTATTTAGCAGTTGTAACAATAAAAAAGTATACGAGGTCTGTTCAAAAAGTACCCGGAATTTTCGTTTTTTCAAAAAAATATTTATTTATTCGTCTACATTAATGTGGTCCCCTTCAAAGTAGTCCCCCTCAGATATAATACACTTATGCCAGCGTTTTTTCCAATTTTCGAAGCACCCTTGATATTCACTTTTTGATATGTCCTTGAGCACTCTCAGCGATTTTCTTCAATCGAGGAAAACCGCCGTCCTTTCATGGGTCTCTTCAACTTTGGGAATAGGAAAAAGTCACACGGAGCCATATCTGGTGAATTTTTGCACTTTGCAACACTTTATTTCATTTTTTACGCAAAATTTAATACAAATTCTTTGACTTTTCAATTCTTCCATTGTAAAAATCGCCGAGCTCAGAAAAACACGTCGAACCTTAGCGACTACCACAGACAAAGTAAACAGTGAATATAGCTGAAAATTTCATCATACTTTAGGGGCATGTATACCAACACAATAAAAAAAAAATTTTGACAATCAGACACTCCAGACCCGCGAAATTTAATTATTAGTAATTCCGGGTACTTTTTGAACACACCTCGTATATTATATTGAATATACTATTATATTACTTATCCACAAACTTCGATAAACAAGTTGCTCACCAGCGTAATTTTGTTTTTATTTCACTTCTTAAATCTGTAATTAAATAATAACGAAGCACATTTTTCATCTATGGAATAAAGAATAAAAAAAATATTTCAATAAAATCATTCTTTATACAAACTATAAATTCACTCAAAAGTATGAAAATATAATTCTTATATTTTATTAGTCTAACATAGATGTTACTATCATTAGAAATTCATAATAGAAGAATAGAAGAAAATACTGATGGCCAGAGTTTAAACCTAGTGATGAATAAATATTCATTTAATCATTTTCCTTTTCGGTACAATGATTACTGGTAATAAACTGCATCACTATCGACGAATTTTCTAGATGCTTTTTATACTTTATGGATGAACAGTGGATTTAATAACGCCTTGCGAAGATAGATCGAGCAAATGGAATGAAAAACATTATAAGATTAATTTCTATTACTAAATAAAGTTTTTTGTGAAAATATTCACACAATATTAATATGATAAATTTGACTCAACTTATGTTTAACTTCAATAATGAATTTGCTTATCATTTATTTTTTCTGATGATCTATAATTATTTTTTTCAGGTCGGACATGAAAGATCTGGCAACAAAGCTGAATGTTCCCTGCAGCCGCTGTATTTCAATCGCGACCGTCATCGCCACACTTCTACTCTTTCTGAGAACGTCAGGTAATATTAATTCTAATTAAAGTTACTGTCATTAATTCGGAAACTTCGTGAATTTCATAAAGTCTGGCTGAAAGACGATTTCTAATCAAACTTTACAACTTATACCAAAAAAAAATTATGATTATTTTTAGATATAAATTACTTAAATATAAAAATATGGATGTGAATTCAAATATTTTATTTTTATTATAGAATGCTATGTTTTATATGAAATTGTATAACTAGTATGCATTTTATTTTGATGGCCACGTAGAGGTAGTAGTTTTATTTGAAGTACAGCCACGATTGAAATAATGAAACATATATTTTAAGCAAAATTAGATAATTATAGAAAATAAAAATAATTGGCATCATTAAAAAGAATTTGTAGATAGGTATATATTTATTGACAATGAACCAAAGACTTAATTAACATTAATCATATTTATGAAAAAAAGGAACATTTGACTTATTTAAAAGCTCTCCAAGTCAAATGTTTGTTTTTTTTCATAAACATTATTGCTGTTAATTAAGTCTTTTGTTTATTATTAATATCTACATTTTTTATAATTATATTTATTTTCTATATAATGCGTTATTTCATAACTCACTTCCTTTTCGTTCTTTAAATTAAATTTATATATTTTTATTTTAACAAATTATTTAAATCTTTTCAATTTAACAAATTTATTTTTATCAATTCTTTTATTTTTTTTGCAATTTTTACGTTTCCTAAAATAATTTGAGTTTTATCCACTGAAGAAAAGTTCAATTTGGACCTGAAACGTATGTAAGACATAAATCATTTTAAATATGATTTAATTTTTTTTAATAAGTGAGTGGATGTTAACAATATATATATATATATATATATATATATATGTGTGTGTGTGTGTGTGTGTGTGTGTTAAATTTAAAATCACTAAAATCAATAGCTTTTGCATAAATCTCCCGAACAACCGTAATTAATTTATTATATAATATGAGCTCTGTGCAATTTATATTAGTTTTATTTTTCAATCACAATTTTCGCAATTTACATAAAAATTATTAAAAGTAAAATTTACATAAAAAATAATGAAAGTATCTAAAGAACATTCATCTAAAAAATATAATTAATTTCAATATTTTATCATGACCAATACCTACTATTACTTTTTTATATTGAATTGTACGCGTTAATTTATGATAAGGAACTAAACTAGTTTAAACTTCGAATAGGTTTATGATATATTATTAAGCCTTGTATTAGAAATAATATTTTGATATCAACTTTATTTTTAGATAATTTATTAGTATAATTTTTATACGTTTTTAATTGTTTTATTTGTATTCTGAACATAACGTCATATATATTGTCTTCCTAGAAAAATTGCAATTTCTTTGCGAGGTATTTTTATTTTACATTATTATTTTTGATATATTTATATCATAAATTGGTATATTCATGGATTTATTATTAAAACGACAAACTATAAACTAGACTTCACTTAATTGACTTTACAAGTTGAACATCAGAAAATACTAATATCGTAGAAGAAGTTTATAAATAAGTTTATTCCACTATATTCGGAAAAAAGTCTTAATAAAATATATCTTACTACATACTAAAATTCTGGTTTGAAACGAGAATATCTCTAACCCATCGTCTCTTTAATTTTCGCTTTTTGATAGATTTTCGGCTGAAAAAGGTTGCCTACAGTAGGCTTAATATTTTATGTAAATAAGATAAAGACGTTTAATATTATTTTATTATTTTATAGTAGCCATATATAACACATATATCCAGAAACGTTTTATGTAGGTTATATAAGATTTATGTAGAGGTATAAAATCCGTTGAATGATTCTGCTCGTCATATAGAGCTATATTATAATTTGGGCTCGGCGAATGTTTTATTTGGGTCACCACCCCGATCCACGAATTCACCTTATAATTTTATTCTGACATAGCATATAATTTTTCTGTTTGATATCATGTTTTGAATTAGTTGAATATATAATGTAAGATCGTCGCAGCAAGATTTATAAAAGGATTCTTGATTTCTACAAGTTTAATTTATTTGCGAAACATTTGTAGATTAATTTATTTGCAAAGTATTGCAGGATAACTGAAACTGTTTATTGTTTGAAAAATTGGTTAGCGAATATGCTGATTTTAAGTAGTTCATATATTGAATTTTCCAATAATTATATAATTTATAAACTTACAAGGAGAATCTCAGATTTACTCTTTTTGGGATTTTGATGAAACTTAGCACAATGATGTGGTATATTGTCAAAACAAACCCCTTGAAATATTATACGTCTATGAGAAGTATTAAAAAGATTAATGGAAATTTTTCTCCCAATGACATCTAAATGTTACACTCTTGTTCGAATTCCGAATTTACACTTTTTAAAGTGTGCATTTCAAATATATTCTATTATTCTTTATTTCAAATATATTCTATTTCAGCTGTAGAAGTAAATATTGTAAACAATAATGATTATTATTAATTAATTTATAACATATTTTTGCAAATAAAAATAGATATATTTGAAATAAATCTACATATGTATTGAATACTTTATATTAGTACTTATATTTATATTGTGTGTTTATTAGTTTCATTATAAAATATACTGAATTTTTTTTTCAGGACGGCGGTCCGCTCCTTCGGGTGTGGTGGTTAGCTCGCGGGGCCCGAGCCGGCGCGTCCTGAGCACGCCCAAACCGGCCCTGCCCCGCGACCCCTGCTGCATACACTGTTAGCAGGTAAATTATTAATTGAAAAAAATGACAATATTCATGACAAGAAGTCTGTCAACAAACGTATTTACATACGCAGGTGATTACTCTTAATACGATTTTTTACATAATACGTAAATTTATCTCAGTCCCTGCACTTACAAAAAATTGTTTCATACTTTTAGGCTTAATTCTATATGTTTAATACATGAAAACAAAACGAGTTGTCAATCATAAATAATAAAGATATTGAAAGTTTTCCATAAAATATTACAAAGTGCGAATAATCTTTGACAAATAATTGAACAATTTTGGAATAATTAAATTCAATTAATTTACATGTTTACCATTTAGGCCAAAAAACTGCTTTATTCAAAAAAGTAAGTATTATAATAAGCTCTTCTCGTTTCAAGTTAAGCATAAAAATGAATTTAAATAAAAATTTAAATCGTAGTTTAGAAAGTTTTTTTGCTTCTATTAAAAGGATAACACATCTTGAACAATAGAGAAAAATTAAATTCAAATACTAACTACTAGGTGTGTACAGAAGAAAGAATTTATTATTAATTTATTAAGTCAACGTAAAAGATATTTTATCTTATAACAATTTATCTACTGCAAATACCTTATTGAAAAAATACTCTTAATGAAAAAAATAGTTTTCTGTCTACTTTATGAATTTAAATTAAATCGAAATCACTTTTTCATCACTACTATATATATAGTAAAAGCGGAAATTCCATTGACTCGAATTCCGATGAGCTTCACGATTTTCTTTTTATATCTGATATCTTATGTTAAAATTTTAATATTGTGTATGTTATTTTTTATATCATGCACAATATTTAACTTTTATGAAATATTTTTATTTTAGAAATATTAGATTTTTTAGGTTAGCAAAACTTTATTAAATTTCTAGGTACATACTATACTATTATATGACGCTCATGTGAAAAATTCCATACTTGCTTTATTCCTCTAGGATCTAATTAATTTTATTATTACTCAAAGGATTTTTTAATGGAGTTGTATAATTGAAGAATATTATCACATGTGTTTCTGAGTATTTTGTTTCTGCCATAATTTTTTCTGTATTTTATTGGGTTAAAAATTTATTTTGAAAACACTATAATAATATATACTTTTTCCATTTTTTCTTAATTAAATTCAAATTTAAATTTTTGGTTTTGTGATAATAATCTTTGTTAAAATTTGATAACATAATTGTTTTAAAATTGCTTATCAGCATAATTCGTATAATTTTAATTAATGTATAAAATTTTCTCAAAGTTTTACAAACGCCTAAAATTAAACTATAGTAATAACCTTCTTAAAGTATCAAATTGCACTTTCTTAGTTTCGGCAAAGTAACTCTAATCATATTTAAAATAAAAATATGTGTATAGAAGAAGGTATCATGTACTATAAATATATTAAATTTTGATAATTTTACGAATTTTTATCAAATATATACAAGCGGTAAAAAAATTAAATTTTGTATTTATTTAAATTTATATTATAAATTATGCATATTGGACTTTACAGGCTATAGGTGTAAATTGTTTCGCAAATTATCTCAAAGATATAATACAAAATATTAGCTACAAACATAAGCTAAACAAATAATTAAACTTATTAAACGAATTTCAAAATTATGTTGAAATATATCCTTAAACGTATTATGTGAGCTACCCTATATAATGAATACCACAATATAAATATAAATATAGAACACAGAAATTTATAGTGCTAAAGTTCAAATTACACGCAACAGAAATGGACGTAGGGGTACATGAAAATATTACCTCTATCACGGATGCAAAACAGAAAATCAATATGAAACCAGCATAAAAACCTCTGCGAATCGTAAAATGTATGTCATTTGTTATTATATACTACTGTATATGAATGACTTCATATTATTAGTTTTTGATATTCTTGGGAAGTTGGCGTAGAATCAGAGAATTTATTTGACACGAATGAAAATCGAGAAAAATTGTTCGAAAGTACATGGCGTCTCCATCTGACATTCATAATTTTCTTCCGACATATTCAAGCAGTCTATTTTCGAAGTAAATTAGAATTTGATTTTTGTATATGGAAAATATTAAATAAAATATTTTTTGTAATTTGTGAACAATATGAAGTCAAATAGTATGATTTATAAATAAATATATATTAAAAAATAAAGTGTTAGTTCATCCGTCGATGCAATATTTGCATAATGAAAACAACTAATATTGTCATCCACAGTTTTATTATTGAAATTCAAAGAAAATCATTAATTGGCCTTTAAACGTGTTCTAAAATTTCAGTATAAGGTTACATATACGATCACGCGATTTTTTATGACATCAATTAATTAATTTCGCAGTTAACAGAATTCAGCTTTTTTATAAATTATTAATTTCAAATTTATGAAAGTAACCTTTATTTCATACCCACTTCAGCAAATTTTTGAATTACACTGTGTAACTATTTTAACTCAATTCTATGCTTAACTTAAAACTAGAACTTAATTCTAATTCTAATCTCTTAATTAAATGTTAGCAAAATTTGATTGACTATTTTTATGAAACTTTGTATGATCAGAGTTCACAGTCGAAAATCGTAAAAAGTTTTAGTTACGAAAAGTGGTTTATTTGTAAAATTCAATAAACTTTGGAACAATGGACAGCGCTTAGAACATATAACGTGTATTAAATCAATTGAAAATCGTATTAAGTTACTTTTGTTGAACCGCGAAATCTTTACCATCAGAATGAAACGTTTGAAAATTTTACCATTACAAATTTAAAAGTTGCTAAAACCCTCTTATACTGAAGAAGTGATTATTTACAAAGGCAAATAGCTACTTAAACTTAGCTTATATTGTTATATCTTATATTATGCGATTTTCTACATATTACACATCACAATGTATACTGACAATTAGATAATTTAATAATTTCAAACACTTCAATGTTTTATATACCAAATCAATATGATAGAGCAACCAAAACTATACAGTACTTTTGTTTCATTTGAGTTTTAAATGAATTGTTTCATGTTGCCCGTTATGTGGTTAGACTGGAGTGGAGAAACGTCCGTCACACACAAAAATATGTATATATCACATTTTATTTTAATTAAATGTACAACTAGCGATTTTTTATTTTTTCTAAAAATAAATTAAGGCGAAGTTTACAAACGTATATATTGATATATTTACCTTCTCGTAGGGTAAGATATAGTAATGGCAAAAATATCGAAAATGAAAATTTTTACATATCTTCATGTTTTGAAGGTTTCTGAACATTTTGGCATATCTTAGAAAAATGGAAATTATAAGATATTTGATAAAGTTTTCAAAAATGAGTACTAATTTTGTTACAATTCACAATTCAGTTCGAAAATGTATATATTTCAAATGTGTTATTCTGATCGTAAGAAATGTATCCTCAGACGGATTCATTTGGCATCTCTTGCTAATGTATACTTTCTCAAGTGCTTTGAGCGATTAGATCGTAACTGTATATTTTATGAACGATATATCGTGATTATAATTATCTATTTGACAATGTTTAAAACAATTGTTATTAATCATTGATAAATATTTATTGATTATTAATTTTTCTGCTCGAATATTAAATTTTGGGAAGTTCCAGCAACTTGCCTTGAGGAACGATGCCTTGTATCACTAGTTACATTATATGTATTATTTCCAGGCTCTGTGTGGGCGTAGAAGGGTGTAGAGCACACACATCGGCCACTAGACAATGTCCGTGGCTTCCGATTCCATCTCGGAGGAAGAACGCAGCTTGTTCCAGCCATTCACTCGCGAATCGCTCGCGGCCATCGAAGCACGTATCGCAGACGAACTAGCCAAACAGAAAGAACTCGAGAAGAAACGCGCCGAAGGAGAGGTAAGACCAACTAATATACATACTATACTAAAACTATAATTGAATACTATAGCATACTATACTAAAATCAAACATTTTATTCGATAATTACATATCATGTTACACTGACGTAAGTTATAGTGGTCAATTGTTGGGTAAAATAGAACTGTTATAATGATGATATGGTACAGATCTGTCATCGTATGAGTGGAAAGTAACTGTGAAAAACCATGTATTTGCTGCGATTAGGTGTTTTACACATAAAATCTAATCCACAAAACTAAGGTGACCATAAGTCCCGGTTTGGTCGGGACAGTCTCGGATTCTACCTTGTGTCCCGGGTTTTTTAGAAGTATTATTTCTCCCGTATTTAGATTTTTAACTTCCCGTAGGGTAAGTTATTGTAATGGGCCGAAAATCGGAATTGAAAATTTTTACATTTCTCGACGTTTTGAAGGTTTCTGAACGTTTTGGCATACCTCAGAAAAAATGGATGTGTGTGTGTGTGTGTGTGTGTGTGTGTGTGTGTATGTATGTGTGGATACAAATTTCCAGTCACGTTTTAGGGCGCACGGATCAACCGATTTGAATGGTTCAAAAAACATTCGATTCCTATTGATTGGGAAAAGAGCTGATTAGTTTTTGGCAAAGGCAGGTCCAGCCGTTTCGGAGATACGGAGCAAAGAGTGCAGAAAATAGAAATCGAATTTTTGAGCGAACGGAGTATCCGATTTGAATGATCTAAAAAACATTCAATTAGTAATGATTGGGAGAAGTGTTTATTAGTTTTTGGCAAAGGCAGGCCCAGCCATTTCGAAGATACGGAGCTAAATATGTAAAAAATGGCAGTTTTTGAGAGAACTAAGCGTCCGATTTAAATGATTCAAAGAACTTTCTGCTTGTCTTAACAAAATAATTGATTTTGGACTTTTTTTTTTTTTTTTTTTTTTTTTTTTAGTTTTTTGTATATCGAAAATATTTCAGATTTTATTTTTAATTCTGACTATAGTTCTAATATACTTTAGAAATAATTTCAACTCTGCAATTCGGTTTATATAATTCTTATAAATATTAGACAATGTTACAATATTTATAATAATCTATTTGAAAACATTCAATATTCCTCGAACATTTCGTTACGGTGCGGGAAGTTCCAGCAATTTGCCTCAAGGCACGATGCCATAATTGCCTCAAGACAGAATTCCACTTACAGCTAGTTTTGTATCGGATTGTCCCGGGTTTTTAAAAAGTATAGACTTAAATTGAATTTTAGCGATTATAATATTTTATATAACATATAATCAAATAATAAAGCTTCTAATAAAAGTCAGTGATTTTGATTAAAAAAAGTTGATTCATTTAAAACAAATTGATTGTTATCGTATTCTTAAATAGTATTTGTTATTTTAAATTTTGTTGCATACAACCCCCCTTCCCTCCGCCGTACTGACCCGGGTTACAATAACTAAAAATTAACGTCCCGGTTTTGACTTAAAATAAATGTTCACCTTACCAATACTCACGAGCGACAAATAATTTCATCATAAATGCAACTTTTTGGTGTCTCCTTGATAACATGTGCGTGAAGTTAGGTTTTATGTGTAAAACGCCTGAACGCGCAGCAAATTCAGAGTATTTTGATAGTTCGTTACTACCAACTCATACGGAGATAGACTTGTAACATAGCATTCGCATAACATTTTTATTTTATTGGAAAATTGGCCCCATAATTTAGTGTTACATAAGCGTTTATTATATCAAATGTATATACTATAGTATTTTGCGCAAAATGAACGTACTAAAGTGGAGTCACAACAAAATTGGCACATGCACACTGAATTTACGAATAAATTGAAAACCAAAATTTATCTATATATCTTCAATTGTTGTGATAACATTTAAAACATTTTACGTACTATTTTAAAATCTTCAATGCTGATATCAAAATTCTATATTTTTTCATTCCTGTGATCTATATAATGAAGCAGACATATTGAATATATCAATATAAAGTAAGTAATTTAATTTATGTACGAAGTACTACTAAAAAAAATGCGCTTATATGAACTTGAATGTTCAATGAAGGTTTAATCGCAAATATTTTTCAAAAACAATATTTTCACATAATTTTTCTCATTTTTCCGTCGATACTTGTGCGATTAAAAGTGTTCATTTTTTCTGATGCAAAAGAATCTTGTTTTGCTCTTTTGAATATTATTTTTCGTACATTGATTAAAAAATTGCTTTTCTTATTTTTTAATGTCAAGAATAGTTAGTTACTTATTGTAGTTTACAAGAATGTTTTTATGCTTTCAGATTATTAAATTCAGAAATGTTAAAGTTTCAGTTTATTTTGCGTTCAACATTATAGAACATTTTTATTGACACATGTATTGACTGAAAAGCAAAAGAAATAATTGTGTAAAAATAGTGCTCATACAAGTTTCAAACGATTTTAATTTTATGCATTTAGTAAAATGAAAATATATGGTTAAAAAAAATATTACATATGTATTTCATATTTTTAAAATATTAATGAATAACATTTATCAATCGTCACAATTTTGGAGAAATGTACATAAAAAACAGTACATAATCGTTTTTAGAAATCTCTTAGGGGATAAAATACAACTACATAAGTACAATTTTTATTTAAAATATAAAGTATTACAATAACCACAACCAAATATTTATTCTACGTTTTATAATTTAATTGAAGCTGAAGTATTACAAATTTGAATATAAATCATCAAACTATTACAAAACATTACTCATAATCTGCAGATATTTATCTTTGTATATATAATTTTATTACTAAATCAGCTTTAAAACAACATGTATGCGTCCAATTGCAAAATCATAATTCAAAATGATGGTTAATTTGTGATTTTATGAACTTCGACATTTGTTTACGCTTTTGCAGTGTGTGCTTAGTAATATGTGCCCTGGGTTGAGATATTTTTAAATAATTGTTGTGTGAATAATTTATATGTACTCCTATCGATTTCAATATTAGACTTCTTAGGCGCAATTCAGTCCACTTACAATACATATGCACGTAAATCAAAGAAATATTTTTAAATTTTACGAAGAATGGTTATTGAAAACCAATAAATATTTTAAAAAATTATATGTATATATAATCTATTTGTATTAAAATAATCAATTTAAGTATTTATTTGCATATATATTTAAAGTAGAAACCTATAACACGTGTGTCAACTAAGCATAATTCTTATAACTATCTTGTTTATGTAACCTTATATACTTATAGGCATATATATGTTTATATATATATATATATATATATATATATATATTTTTTTTTGAGGTATTTATTTAAAATATATTCTATGACAAAATCAATTAGAATAGGGATGTTCTATAAACTCATTACAAAAATATTTTCATTTTTTATTTAATATGACACTTTTATTACATCTGAAAAGTTCAAAATTATGTAGAATAAGATGAAATTAAATGCAAAATTTTAAGTTTTGACTAACAATTCTTCAGAATAATTTATAGTTGCAAATAAATTCCTTATAAATATGCCTTATAAATATATGTTTCTTTTTAATTTTTTTACAACGTCCCAAATTATCATCATCATCGTCGTTAAAGTTTTTACCTTTTCTTTAAGAAATTGCTTTGACTCGGTTGTTGACATGATTTTGTGCAATCCAAATGCAAAAGTAATATAACACTATGGTAACAAAATATAAATCGATTATTTTACACTAATTAAAATTTGCCATTGGCCCCAGTACATTTTTTGAAAAACTAGTTTCTTGTGCGTTTTAATATTTTCATATAATGCATATTTCATGAATATTAAAAAAATATACAATTCAAATGTAAATAGATTTATATAGAACTAACTGCAGAACTTTCAAGTTTTTACTCACTTATGTGTTTCGTGTATTCAGAGCAATATTTATATTTGCAAATAGTTTTGTATTCCTTTTAGAGATATGATTTTTCTTAATATCTTTCAACATTTGAACTTTGTTTATTTTTAAAAATATCATCTTTATCGTTATTAAATATTTTCTTAGTTTTGCTTTAAAAAAATGCAAAAGTAATATAACAGTGAAGTAATGTAATATAATAATATTTTAATACTTTAATTCTTTAATCTCTTTAATTCGAACTCATTCAATTCAATTTAATTTAATACTCAAATTTTAGGAATACTGTGCTTTAGTACATTAAGCAATTCCAAATTTTTTGTTCGTTTTAATATTTCTTATTTATGTTTGCTTTTTAGTGCGAAATATTAGTTTAGTGCTACTATTTACTTAATTTCTAAGTTGCTTAGTTACTTAATTTGTTTTTTTTTCCTCAAACAAATCCTATGATATTAGCTATAAAAATTTTAATGCATAACCTACTTATTCATTATGTTGATTATTGATATATTTACCAGAATCAGTTTGTCATAGAATATATTCCAATTTACTTAACTATATATAGATGGAAAAACTTTCAGGATTTTTAACACTTATGTCTATCTTGCATTCAGAGCCATTTATATTTTCAAATAATTTTGTATTCGGTTTAGAGATATATTTTTACTTAATAATTTTTACAATCTTAATTTTGTTCTTTCTTAAAAATATCATTCTTGTCTTCGTAATATATTTTCCGTACTTTATCTTGCTTTAGAGGTGTTTTTTTGAATAATTTGGCAAAATTCAAATGCAAAAGTAATAGAAGACTAAGGTAATTAATGCTTACTCACATGCCATGGTTTATTTTGCATCAACTCAAAATTATTTTTACCCTAATTCTATGTATTTAGTAACATTTATTATTCTTATCTCTGTTTTTGAAATATGTTGTTAGTATGCAGTTTTAGTTTACTCAGTTAGTTAGTTTTTCTCATCAAATAAAATCTACGCCATTAGCTGTAAATAATAATAATAAATAGTTTCTCATTTTTTATGTTGATTACTGATATATTTTTCAGGATTGGTTGGTCATAGAATATATTTCAATCTATTTAATTATATATATATATATATATATATATATATATATGTATATACATTTATTATACATTTGCACATGCATATAAATGTGTGTAAATGTACATCGATATATATGTGCCTATAAGTATGCATAAAATATATTTATGTGTGTGTATTTTGTATTGTGTGTAACGCTAAATTAATTGTGTGTATAAACCGCAACGCAATCGTCCAGAGTTGATTCGATTGAATTTTGAATTGGCGCGTTCCATCGAGATTGGTCGTTTAAGTTGCGCACATGCGCCCCTATCGATCTTCCATGTATCATCAGCTCTGGTCGATGGCGTTTGTGCGTTTCCTCCTAACTCCTATTTATATTCTATCGTATTATATACTCTACAATAATACATACCACTTCTTCTTTGAAAGCCGTGTGTGTGCCTGTGTTTGTAAACCTGTTTCAATGTTTTTTTGACCATTGCAGACCGGTTTCGGGAGGAAGAAAAAGAAAAAAGAAGTAAGACACTTTTCACCCCTTTAATAGATATCACCCCCACAAAATTTAGTTTTTGTTTTTCAAAAATGTAATGACCATCTGATTATTATAAGAATGAAAGCGTACAAAAACCCGGACCGACTGTCAATCGATACTTTATTAAATTGGCTCTAAAGATATTTTGAACAAGGAGCTTTTTGTTTTTTGTTTGAGCAGATTAAATCCGCGTGACCAGACAGACGCTATTTTTACAATTGTCCTGTCCGTTGTTTTTGATAAAGCGCGCTTTGTAGTCACCGCTTCGCTTGTTACAAAACATTTGCTAGTTCATTTCGTTTGATGGTAGCTCAAAATTCGCTAATTCACATTAATCACAACATTTATTCAGCATTGGCATATTCAAATCAGTTGCAAAAACATTATGATCATATATCATAACATCAACATTGGTAAAACACGAGTCGAAATTGTTTACTCATGCTTGCGTACAAACATTTTATTGTTAAGACAAGTGATGGTAAAATCAGACCACAGGTGAATGTAAATTTTATCTCATGTTGTAGAACTCATTATATTGTTATATTAATATATAAACATAGGCATATCTGTCACAGATAATGTTTAAAAGCCAACGTCTTCGAAGTATTTTACTCAAACAATTAATTTTATTTATCATATTGAAAGAGAAAAAAAACTCTTTCTGAAAATTTTAAGTTACAATAGAAGAAATGCACAGTTAAAATTTTCAATTATTTCACAGTTGAATATATTTACATTTACAGGGACTATAATTCCGTACTGTTTAGATGCAATATTTATTCCAGATTCAAGTTTCTTGTTTTGGGTTGTCCTCAATGTTTGAAAAGGTTCTGATTTTCAATATCAATTTTAAATATATTTCAGCTAGAATTGTTTTTACTAAATTCGAATCATAAAATGTGCACTTGAAACAGATACCCTTAAATTGATGCTATTGTTTGACGAATCTAGTATAAAAAAAGTTTCCAAATCAGTAATTTTGAATAAAAAACAATTAAAAACTGTTAAAAAATTAAAAAAATTTATTTGTTCCTTAAATATTAGGGTGACTTCTAAGAATATTGTAAAAGATTTCTCATTGGCGTTTCACACCGCATTGCCCGAAATGGTCTATTTTCAATTGGTAATATTTTTGATATATATTTTTATGTAAAAATCAATATCACTACTGCATGATAACAAGTTATCCGGGCGGGGTTTCGAATTCACGACCCTAACCGCATAAGGCAGTGCGCTTATCCGTTACGCCGTGGGATATAATATATCCTTAATGTCTTCTTGTGAAAACAAATCTTGATTTTTGACAACGTTTTACAAACAGTTTCTGGTCTGGAGTTTATTGACCTAAATTTTATAAGGGATGGATTCTAATTATCTTCAATTATAAATTACATCTAAGTGCGTATTTTGACTAGAAAATAACATGTTTTACCAAATTAAATAACTTTTTTTCTGTAATTTATTTTCCATTTTGATCAATAACTTTTTATCATCTTTTAACCAGAATCGTTATCCCACATTCATGAAACATGTGGTTTTGATTAGGAGAAAAACTGAATTAGTTACTATTTTACATCATCATAATCATTCAATTGTTTACCAAATTTTGACACTGCCGTTTTTTAGACCTTTGTCACAATAAACATCTGATAACTTTTTATGATCTTAATATGCCTTTTCGCCTTTGCAGAATTGAAGAAGCAGAATATGACAAAAATTTGATTTTTGTTTTGATTTTTATCTTTCAACGATCGCCAAACGAAAACTCCTCAATCGATAAAAAAATCTCTTCTTTTTACTGATGCACGTCAAAAGTGCCTACTATTCATCAGCAATAGGTAATTTACATTTGTACTACGTCAACAAACCTAAAAATTCAATTGAGACCATCTAAGCTGATAACTGCACTTGATTGGCAACAAATCTATGCAAATAAAAAAAGAAAAAAAAATCCAGTTACCTGAGCTAATAGTTTTTGTTACGTATAAAAAATTTAAAAAAATCATTGTAGGACAAGTTTCCGTTTCGAAATTCAAATATAAAATAATAATATAATAATATAATAAGCTATATCTATTGTTCCTAGATCATGATAATGAGCGTTCTTAAACCTGAATTGACTTTATAGCACAATTACATATTTTAATACTCCTTGAGTTTCCAACTAAAATTCTCTAATTAAATACGTAAGACGATTTTAAATCATCAAATTATCTCCACATCCCGGAACGAGTTGGAAAACATTTCCGCATAATGCAGAAGTTAAACAAATAGATCAAACAGTTTAAAGTTTCTAAAGACACTCGTATTATAGAGTAGAATTATTAAATGTGCAAACAGAATTGACACGCCGCTGCGTACAAATGTAGTAATATAATTTTGCGTTGTGTACCTACTTTTTCCTGTGTAACTAGGTCAGCGCTGTGTATACCTTGGTAGTACGAGGCGCACCTTGCTTGGGTACACTCTTACCCGTGATCATCGACATGAAACTTGAAAACTTGTCGTAAAAAACATATCATTTTTCATATACGTTGCCTTCATGGCAATGTGCGATTCGTTTACTTAACGTCTTAAAGTTAGTGACATTATTATTTACTTTCTTTACTGCGTGCAGCTCACAAAGAGGGGTTTTAAAATAAATACACTTTTTTAAAAATTTTTAATGAATTCTTTGAACATATATAGTAATTTTGAACGTTTGTACTCAGTTATCACTATCTGTTTGTATTATAATTGAAGATAATTAGAATGCATCCCTTATAAAATTTAGGTCAATAAACTTCAGACCAAAAACTGTTCCTGAAACGTTGTCAAAAATCGTGATATTTTTTTTCTTATATTAATTTACAATTCGCTTTACAAGAAGAGGTTCAGAATATATATATGATCATAGGTTTTACATGGCATATCGGAAAAGCGCACTGACTTGTGCGGACAGGGTTGTGAGTTCGAAACCTCGCTCTCGATAGCATGTTATTATGCAGTAGGGATTAGGGTGGTCCTTAATATGGATATTTACGAATTTCTTTGCTCCCAAAGGCTCAAACAGTTCCAAATTGATAAATAACAATTTTCTGAAAGGTTCAGCTCTGAATATTAACTTTTAGATAGTGCGCAATTCAATCAAACATCGTATGGAAATACCATGGAACAAATTTTGAAAATTGAACAAAAAATTATTAGGTATAACTTAACGACAAATGAATTAAAAGCGAAAACTCGTGTCATTCTTTATTGAAAATTCGACGCTCTGCAAAATCTTTGAAAAAAATTGTATGCTATTTCCATACAAATCTTTGATTGAATTCGGCTCTATCTAAAAGACAATATTAAGAGCTAAAACTTTCACAGAATTGTTTTTTTAACAATTTGGAACCATATGAGCTTTTGGGTGCAAGAAAATTCAAAAATGTCCATATTAAGAACCACCCTAGACAGGCATATCACACAAGTGATATAGATTTTCAACTTATTATATAGATAAGAAATATGTTTTGAATTTTAAATAACCTATTTCGTGCATTTCCATTTATCTTGGCAATGAGAAGTCTCTCATTCTATTTTTCCCAATCGAGTTGGACTTAATTCTGCTCACAAACCTGCCCTAGGGCAGTACAACCCATTATAAGATTATTACAAAAGTAGTAAGCCTTTTCAACTTTGGTAAAAGATACAATGAAATAGAATTGTGCATGTGAAAAAAACGAAGAAAAGCTTATATTAAATGCATTCATATTTAATTGTACTTACAATATTATAAAAAACTATTTCATTTATTCAAAACAATTTTGACTATGAGCAATGCAGAAAATATTGTCCCATTCAAGAACGTTTTAGACATAAATAAACAAGTATAAAGTTTTAGATAAACAAGTAGAATCGTTTTAGAGTAGGTTACATTAATATGATTTTAGTAATAATTATTTTCATCCCCAACAAAAATATTAATTTATATTTTTGCATTTTAAGTAAGAGTTTTATGCTATTTTTCTGAGTAAAATACTTTAGAAGGCTACGTTTAATAACGTTACTTATCTTCAGATGATGATAAGTATGTTGAATGAACTAAATACTTCTTAAACAGGCATTCATTCAGATAATAAAAATAGGATTTGAACTAAAATATGTTTCCTAAAATAGTTATTATTAAACTTTATTTCTTATTTCTCATAACATAATAGAGAAGTCAAATTGGTTCTCGAAACGTATAGATATCTATTATAATTATTTTAGGAAATATATTTTAAAGCCCAATTCTCTGATAAAATAAAAATAGATATGACAATGCTATGTTACGGTTCTACCTTCGTATGAATTGGTAGTAAAAACTGTCAACAAGCTATGTATTTGCTGCGCAGTAATGCGTTTTACATATAATACATTACCTAAAAAATGCACAAACGTCAAAAATTTATATATTAGTTTATCTTTCTAATGTGCCCTTGATAACATTTACTTGAAGTTAGTTTCATGTGTAAAACGCATGACTGCACAGCAAAAATAGCTTTTTGACAGTTTTCACCACCAATTCATACATAGGTAGGATTGTAACATATGGTTGCCATAATATTTCTATTTTATCGGAGAATTAGCTTCTTAGTTTTTTTTTTCTATTTTTATTAACTGGATGGGTGCCCGTTTGTATATCATTTAGTTTGTATATATAGACCACATATCTTCGAAATGAGTTTTTTGTTACCAAACACGCGATGTGGCTGGACCAAGTTTCACTATAACTTTCGTACGATTATTCAATTTCTTATAATTAAAAAATTATTTATTTTGACTAATTATAAGATGTTTGTATAAATCGCTTAGTAAACAAATTTGACTCTTTACGTGTTTAGTCTTCTATATTCCTGAAGACATTGATATTCATATACATTACAGGTATAATTATGATCGAACTTAACTTTAATAGAAAGTTAATCAGTTAAATTGATGATATTTTTGCAGAAATAGAAATTATATGGTTTCAT